GTGTGTGTGTGTGTGTGTGTGTGTGTGTGTGTGTGTGTGTGTGTGTGCGTGCGTGCGTGTTAGCATGTGTGCATGCATATATGTGTATATTGAAAGCATCTGTGAAGACAATCCAAACTAAGAGTCAGCTGTACATTAATTGTACACTTCTGATTTATGAATTTGTTATTGTCCAAACTTGTGATATCAGAAAAGCCTCCTTTATCGTGAGCCTCACTCTGAACCTTCATTCATTTTAACCGTATGGTATGTGGGCAGCGAGAACAAGCCGTAAATACAGCACATGAATATAATAACCAAGTTGATATGCTGAACATGTTAGCGACAGTTTCCTAAGCATTCAGATATGAAGTAACATTAGCATTCATTTGGAGTTGTGTTTTTTACCCACCTGGCTAATATAAATCCAATATTTACCATTATATTTGAAGTTTGGTTTCCACCTTGTTTGGAAATCAGACAAATCTACAAGCTCTGATGGCTGCAGCTGATGTTGAACTTTTGGTTGAAGCCATTATCGCGCCAGTTTTGAACAAAGTGGACGGTATATTTTCGCTAAAAGTAAAACAATCAACTGAACTTTCCCTGAGAAGACGGATGTGTTTGCTGTTCTTTCGACAGAATTTGGCGAAAGTCTGATATACCACCTCAGAAAATCTGAGTCTGTTTACATTTTTGGACAAGTCCCACCCTAAGGTGTTGTGATTGGCTGATACTATGTAGTCTAAACCCTATAGTCAAACAACTTAACTTGCTTCGCTGCTGTCTCTAAAACAGATGCCTTTAGACACGCGAGTAAAATGCATCAAGGCAAGTGCATTATAGCAATATTTTAAGTCACTAATAAAACAAATGTATTAATTTTGGGCTGTATGTTTTGTTGTTCGCTGTCCCTATTTATTTATTTATTTATTTATGTATACGCTAAAACGTTGTGGCCAACAATCGCAACCAAAGGACCACTATTGGTTTCGAGTCACCCCTTTCATTTATACATCCTTTGTTTATACCAAAATAATGATTGTAGCAACTTTTAAGTCACAAGAATAAATATTAAGATTGTTTTTCGAGAATTAAAAATGAAGTTCTACTTTTCTGTTTAACAGTTCCACTGTTTTTTGCCACAGTTAGGTGTTGAGAAATAATGTAAACACCAAACAGCCATTGATATGCAATACAACACCATCGCAACTTAGCATTCCCTCGGCAGAGAGAGGAGGTCAGGGAAAGCTTGGATAGACTTCTTATGAATATAAATACTGCAACATACTTCTCATACCCACACACACACACACACACACACACACACACACACACACACACACACATACACACACACACACACACACATCATATACATTTACAAGCAGGCTCTTATATACATTTACAAGCAGGCTCTTATGCATGCATACTTAGTAGGAGAACTCTCAGGTCAGAGAAAGTAGGAATGTGCTTTTCATCATCAAAATGTATGCAGCAGGTCAGTGAATCTTCAAGCTGCAACAATGGACGCAAAAAAAAAAAAAAAGCAAAAAAAAAAAAGCACCCCGACTGAGTGTGTGAGTGTGCAAAGCCTCAGGGGTAAATCAGCCTCATATCGTAGGGATGAAAGCAACTCTGCCTATCTTAAAATCAATTAAACCCGCTGAGCTCATTCTTGTAGCACACTGAAGCAATCCAAATCAGAGCCAAGTACAAATATAAAAAAACAATATTTCAATAGACATTTTGTTCTTACTCGGAACCGCTAATTAACAGAGTTAACAGAGAACAATTGTGGTCAGCCATGAATCTGACAATTATGTGATATTTTTTCCAATCTGTGATTCGTTTATCTCTGCAAGGAACACCAAACAGTACTTCTTTAAATAAATAGAATCATTTATTGACTACATGCTAAAAAATTTAATAAATGAGAAAAAAACAGGAATTGGCTAGTTTAAGTTGAATTATTCACGATCTATAGATAGCTTACTAATAATAGTTGGTGACAGTAGACAGAGATCATGGATGTTCGGGTCAATGAAGCCAGATTAGCACGGCATTATGTTATATACACAACTATATACAACACGAGCCTCTCCTCACTAAAGCATCATGCATAACACTGTCTTTGAAGAAAAGCAGGTTTCAAAGGCCGAGTTTGTCCTTGGGGTTGGCTGTGGCTGAAATGGTTCTCTGAAGCTTCTGAAGGCAGTGAGGCTCGATCCGGTCACCATGGTAACAGGTGGAGGAGACCGCATGGGATCTTCAAACAGCGGGTCTGTTTCTCCTGGTGAGGTGGGCCGGCTCACCAACCAAAACAACAGCAACAGGACAGTCTCCATAGAGCAGGAGACCAATGTTTCTTTCTTTTTGTTTTATGTGTTTCCAGTTTTGAACATTGGATTGAAAAGGAAAACTATTTAATTGTCTTTAAATTACTTTATATAAGTTATTTCTCAAACCTATACAGTAAATGTTTTGGGCAGCAACAGTAGCTGTAAACGCAACGCTGACATATTACCTTTCTCAAGCTGATATTGAAAAGAGTTTCTTATTCACACATCGTCCAGATATTAAACCTTAGCATTTATTTGGAGTTTTATGTTTCAGGCCACTTGATGAATGTAAATCCAATATTTAATCTCTGTTCAGCCATGTTTTTGTCTCCAGCAAACTCTTTAGGCAAGATTAAAGATTACAACCAACTGAAACTTCTCTCTCGTGTGCCAAGCTCGTAGGAGAACTACGGTGGCTGACGCAAAACGCGAATGTCCTTTTCTAGAGCCAGTGTTTGGTTTGTCCCTTCTAGGCTGCTGTAGAAACATGGCAGTGCAACATAGCAGAGACTCCATGAAGGGGACGCGCTCTGTATACAGTTCATTCTAAGGTATCAAAAAGACGATTCATATTTCCATCATAGATTGAAGAAAACTTACTTATTAATATTTTATTCCATGCATGCTAATAGATCCCTCTAACTGCTACACACTGGTCCTTTAACACAAATAATATGAAGTTTGTTTCACAAAATGCAGTATGGAACCATAAAGATTAGTCAGATTGTATAAACATCAGCCCTGTCCTACTGTCTCGTCAGATAAGACGGAAGAAATTAACATTAATTCTTGTAAGGAGATGATTTGCAGGAATCTTGATTAAACTGAAAGAAAACTTTTATTCGCAAGTTCATGTTTCCACGCGGAATATTACAGAGCACTGGGGCGGCTTGCTTTTTACAGCAGTTGTTAGCAGTTTGATAGTGTACAACACATCCTGGTAGTCGCTGATAAGAAGGTCCCTAATTCACAGTGGTGTCACATAGAGAAATGAGAATGCTGTTGTTTACGGCCGCTTTGTAGTTTGATCAATTGGGGTGTGGGGATATAACTGCAAAACAGGGAAGATGTATGAAACAAAGTCCGTGTCTGTTTTACCAGTTTTAATAACCCCTTCTCTATTGTCTATCATTTAGTAATCCTTTAAATGTTTGCTTTGTTTTTGTGGCTCTCGTGTGAGCACATCAGTGTGTATGCGTGTCGCTCACCTGCAGCCGCCATGGCCAAGCGAGTGAAAGCCAGCCCGACATGTGTCACACTTCTCCCCTGTCACGCCGACACGACACGCACACCTTCCTTCTACATCACACTGCAGACTCACTGAACCTGGGGGGGGGGGGGGCAGCATATGGATCAGCAGGCAGAAAAAAAAAGAAAAGGAATAAAAAGAGTACACAGAGAGAAGGACGACAAAAGGGAAACGGGGAGTATTTTCAAGAAAATAATCCACAGGGTGAATTACATGAAATGGATCAATGTATCATTAATAATTTGTCAGGACGGGGATAACTGAATACCTGTTATTGAATTCTGTTCAAAAACCCTGGAGATGAGCTTGGAAGAGCAGGGTAAAACCTTGCAACCACACTGCAGCTGACACACTGTAGCTTAAGTTAATGGAGAAAAAAGACCAGCTGGGATATTGTGGACATGAGAAAAGGAAGCCTGATGGAGTTTTTTATGACCTTTTATTAATATAATGGACTCCAACAACTCTTGGCAATCATCTGACACTATCTAGTAAATGTAGAGGACAAGATTGCTGATGTATTTGTCCATTTCTTCATCTTGTTCTCTGTGCCGGGCGATGGTGTAATTAAGAGCCCAAACATTTAATGTCCCTCCACCTAAAATTAGACTTAAATGAACACAGTCTATTCACTGATGAAGTTCAATGAGTCAACCGGATCAATTTACAACAGCAAGGCTAGAGCAGACAAGTCATGGATTTATTTAATGGTCATTTGGGAAGCTGAGGCGAGGATAAATCTGATGGGATGTGCAAGACATGAGACGAACAAGATTGTATAAATTATGAACCAGCCTCTACTCTCAGGCTAGGTTTGACAGTTGAGCAGTCGATGGGTTAGTGTAATGTAATATTAATAATGATTTAAAAAGCATTTAGCCATAAAATCGGCTACAACTAATCCTATGAGTAGCTAAATCTTGCATATGGTTGCATAATTGTGCCAATACAGCATTCCAATCTAACCATAATTAAATTTGTTCATGCCAGAGAAAACAAAAATAGTGAGTAATGATATTTGCATGGATTATAATAGGGTCTTTTTAAGTTATTATCAAAACGATTAAGGGTTTTGTAGCCGCAGTTTACCATCAATATTGCAGTTGCATGGTAGGCAGGGCTCCTCGGCAGATGTCCTGAAGTGGTTCTCTCTGCAGTGCTCACAATGGGGCCCGTCAGTGTTGTCTCTGCAGCTCACACAGCGCCCCCCACTGCCAGTGCTCCGGTACTGCTCCATGTCAAACACACAGTCGTCTGACCTCCCGCTGCAGTTACACTCTGAGAGAGAGAGAGAGAGAGAGAGAGAGAGAGAGAGAGAGAGAGAGAGCAGGAGGTCAAGCGAGGAAAGAATGAGGAAGGAGCAATCACAGGGGAAGAAGTGGGCAAAGGAGACAACAAGGTAAAAAGAGAGAAGACAGAAATAGATGGATCCAGAAATAGACGGAGGAAAGAGACAGAGATATGTGTGTGTGAGAGATTATGTGTTCTGGGATTGGATCATAATTTAGAGGCTCGCTGCTAATCTCATTTCACACAGGCCTAATGAGGAGCCAATCGGCTGTCAGGGGGCACTTAGATAACAGTAATTCATGTTTATACAAGAGCAAATTACTCAGCTGATAACACACCATCACAGCTCTCATACCCCTCACATCAAATCCCTCCTTGGTTCACCCGTTACCCTGAGGGGGTATTTAGGTGAAATTGCCCATTTTATTATGAATCAAGCTCTCTGTTGTGCCTGCAATAACCATATGATTATTCCTCCCTGTTCATAAGCAGTGTTCACCCCTATTTTAAAGATAAAAAAAAAAGATCACCCGTTGCTTTGAAACCCAACGCGTTAAAAACTTTGGCTTGATGGTGAAAAGTGGGTTTAATGGGTTTAATGTTTCATATGGATCTCACTAATGTTACATTCATCAAAGCTGACATCTTTTTTTTGGGATACTTGGACACAGCAAACATGTAAACAAACAGTGAACCAACACATCCAGAAAGCAGGAGGAAACATAAGCATTCCTTTGGGGTTGTCTTTTCATTCCACCTGACAAAATCCAAATATTCACTCTCCCGCTAGCTTTGTTTGGTCCTTACCAACTTCTCCAATGTGATTTATTTCCAATAACGAGTAACGTAAGGCTTTACAATTAGACATTTTAGTACAATTGCTAGTCCAAGGAGACTAACTCTCAGTTAACAACAGAATTACTCTTTATAATTGTGTGGTCAGCTTGTTTACTCTCTTAGGACAAAGCTATTAAATGTCTTTGTGAATTCACTGGATTCAGAGCGTTTAGCTTGGCGCAATAGGATGAGAGGTTAGCCTTCGACCAAAACAGGAGGAATTTCCACATCAACATGTTTTCTAACTGTTGTTTTTTGTCATGACTACTTTCACACTGAATGTGAATATTACTTGGCAAAAAAGCGATATTTTTATACACCAGATCCATCTCTTCCATTCTGACCTTACACAGTAAAAGCCACAGACAGATAAACTTTGTGACTGTTTACCAGGGGAAACTCAAATCCACTCAGACCATTTCACTAAAAGGAAACTCAATAACATATCTTACAATAGCTTATAGGCTACACAACAACCTACCTCAGACAGAGTGCCAGACGCTGCTCTGACTCAACAGGATCTTGGTAGTTGGTCCTCTGCCTACACAACTCGATTCGAAACATTTAATGGAAAAGGTTTAGCGACTGTCCCAAATCTGCATCGCTGCATTTTTGCGTTATTTGTCATGCCCCCGGTGGGACAAGGCCTTAACTCTAAAGTTGTCTAATTCACACATTGTTTCTTTTTAGCTTACAAGACAGCCACTGGTAAACCTACATGGATCATCATCTGGCTTTTTGTTCAGGGTGTGCGAAATCCACATCTTCACAGCAAGGCAGAGGCTTCTATGCAGCGAAATGCTGCGTGCAGTCACCAGAGTTAGGCTGTTTGTAAATATTGTAATTCAAAACTGTGAACTGGTTGTTTGTTGAACTGTAATGTCTCATTTTCTATTCCTAGATGTATTAAATGCATGAGACGTATGGGTGTGGAGTTGTTTAAACACACCTTTGACAGAGCTGTAAGTCAAGAAACTAATTAACAAATAATGAAACATAATCACTTTTGGTGTTGAGTATAGTAAGATAATTACTTTTTCTATGGGTGACCTGTAAAGGGTAATTCATAGTTTGTCAGGGAACTTGTTGAACACTGACAGTACAGTGAATTTATCTGAGTTTTATCACTGAAAACATCTGCCATCTGAGTCTGTGAAGAACCCCGATGAGAGCTTCCAGAATGATCCAATACGGTAAGGTTGTTTGCCAAAAAACTAAAGCAACGAGCTGAAAGGTGCTAAATCACCTCGTAAAGCTGAAGGGAACTGCAGTCAGGTGATTATTCTCTGTTTAGGTTCTTTACTACGAGCTACACCTTTCACATTACACATGGGAATGTGGACCATTGTTAATATAAAAACATTGACTGCTGCGGCTTTAAGCATCTGTCTTGATTGTAGTCCTGATGGATGGAATTAGAAGATACTGTAAGAGCCAGTAGCCTTTGCACCGCTAGGAGTGGCCTTTTGAACACAACATGCACCTCTCGACTGATGCCGAGTGCCTTGTCATCACATCTGCAATCCCTCTGCTGACAGGGCAACAGACAAAGACAAAAACTGACACTCTGCGAAGAAAGTCGCTGCAGCATGACTCCGTTCTGATTGGCTCCGGTGGGCAACTAGAGCACAAATACGACCAGCCGGCTCTACCCGTCAGCTCCCATCCACTCTATCTTTATCGAGCCAGCTAGTGGTGCTGCCACTGCTGGTCAGGCTAGCTGATAGCCAGATGGCAGTACTGTCAACAACCTGAGCCCCTGTTGCATTTCCCTTACAACATGTATGTTGACTCTGACAACACCTCATAACATGTGATGTGATACCTGATGTGAACTGTTATACCAGGAGATCTTTTAATACTCTCAGGCTATCCTCAAAAAGTTCACAATTTTCTCAAAATGATGTTTCACTCACATAACTTCAGGTGTATCAACAGGTTATGTCAAAAGCTACTTCATGTGTGAACCGAAGCAAGGACAATGACTTTGTTTAATTATGGTCCTTGATCCTGAAATGAGCTTCAGAGCAAACTGAACATCTGGCTTCCCATCCCTCTCAGCAAGTTCAAAAGTACATTTGCTAATGTTTTAATTACTTGTGGATCCGATGTACTAAGTTTTTGGTTTTGTTGTGATATTAGTTTGCAATTTTGTGAGACTATCTGCAATAAAAAATAGGCATGTGACTTGAAGCATTTTCGATGATTCCCAATTGTGTATTATAACACTATGTGTATTTGTAATACAATAATGTACATTAACAGCCTTTGATGTGATAAGAGGTTAATGCAATTTGTTGACCTCCTATCTTGAATGAAGAAACATTAAACCATTACACACATAATATGCATGGTAGAATGCATGTTTTCTATCTAGGTAAAGGAGTGAACAATGAATGCATGTTTAAAGGTGGTGCATGTGGGATGAAGATTGCTACAAGCAGTGCACACACACACACACACGCACACACACACAGTGCGGCAGAGGGAAACTGGGACACGGCAAATCACTTAAAGCTGTGTTTCCACAGATGCAACACAAAGACCTTTACAATCCTCTCCACAGCCCGTTTGTCCATCTTGACCACATTTAGGCCTGCATGCCCACAACCACCTCATCCACATGCTTTGCTCAGCCTGTGCATCACTGCCACAGTGGAGGCTCCACACAAGTAAGGAGGCAGACTTAGCTCACTCGGTGTGAACACAATAGTGCCCAAAGGACTTTTTCCTGTGATTGATGGAGCCACCTCCTTAAACAGTATGCCTTACACATTTGTGGGTTTTTGTAATCGACAGGATTACAATAGAAAAACTTTAGAAGAAAACACTATGGAGTATTCTTGAGGTGGCCTGCAGCTTTTTTCAGCCATACATTCTCTTTTTCTCAATTACATAGACACAGGGACACATGGTAGTTGCATTTTTGCTAAGGTGAAGAAGTAGAGAAACTGAAATGTGTTCTCACATAGCTTTACACAAAGTCTGGTATGGTTTAAAGTTGATCTATATGTATGATTGTGTTAAAAGGAAATATGTTTATAGACGTTTTTAGAGCCGACTTCATCAAAAATATACATATATATATATATATATATATATATATATATATATACACACACACTGTATATATAACCAGTGGCGGGCCATGCATTTTATACCTGGGACTTCACTGCTGTCCTGCAGCTGAAATACCACCTTATAACCACATTGTGGCACCACAGCTGTTACTCATTTTTAAGGCTGTAACTATGTACATCTTCGTATTAAACCGTTCGGTACGAGTCATTTGAATAATGCTAGAGCATTTAGAAAATGCAAAAGCCTAAATTCAGGAAAATATAATGTTCTCAGCTGGTCTGGCTGTGGGATCCGCCATCATTTCTTAGCTGCGACCCAAAGAGATTAACATTGGATTTTACTTTCACTTTAACGTACTGCTCTGCAATGTCTTTCCTCGGCTCAGGTTCCTCTATCATGGTGCATCTCACTCAGTCAGAATGCCCATATTTGATTGGCTGAGCTGCATCACGTGATGTGATTCACTACCCATCAGCCTCTGCTGGCTGTTAAGTTGTTTCACGATAGTCACGTGCTCGCCCACTGACCAATCACAGCACACTCTGTACCTCGCGGGAAAGCTACACACGGACACTGGCGGCATGTAATGCTGACGTCATTATAGGCCAGCTAGCAGGTTCTGACACGTCAAAGAATACGCCCAACATGTCAAACTAAAGATCTGATTGGTTGAACACTATGACAATCAACAATATCGTCCCCATTTACTTTAATCTGCACTGGCTGCAGGTGAGACTCTGCAGGCCTCTGCCTCTCTTCTTACCTAGAGACACAGAGGTGAAATCTGATTGGATAAAAGCTCTACTTAAAACAAGCTGCACTGGAAGCAGAGCAACTGAGGAAGACAGTAGCTGTGCAATGAGAAAATAAGATAATGGGAAAAATATTTTTGTAAATTATAATACATGTAGTGTATTTAAGAAAAATTATTAAATTATAAAATAGATTTCTTCTTTTTTTTTTTTTTTTTTTAAATATATATAGCTTTGTGATTCTGTTTTGGCCAGCAGAGAAGGCCTTGCAAGCCCTGACGGCCCGCCACTGTATATAACGAGCTAAATGCATCCATG